TATTGTACATTTGTGTTCTACAGAACTAAGTACAGGTCGCATGGGTACAGAACATGAACATAAACATATACATTACATACAAATGAACATATAAGAGCGTAAATAAATGTCTAATTTCTATTCTTTTCGGCTTCATCTCGCTTAGTAGTGATTGTATGGATATATGCGGCTGTGAGATCACTTAGAGTAGGTTTATCGAAAGTTAAAAGGAATACAAATTTCTCTTTACTAGTCAAATATCTGAAGTGGGGAAATATACTTAATACATGGCTAAAAAATATGAGTCTATCTCTACTATACAAGGGGCAATCTAAGGTGAAATGTATTTCATCTTTTATTTGGCCTAAACTACAGAATTGACAGGTTCTTTGTTCTAGAGGAGTGCGGTAATGTCTTCCTGATTCAATTCGTAATTTGTGACAACTGATTCTTAGTTTTGTAATGGAGGACCTGTGACGTATGTTCGCTAAGTTGAGATATTTTTTCTTATCTTTTCTTATCTATATTTTTATTTTCTATAATGACAGTTGACACGATTCTAATCACCGCTGTTTCCCTACAGTTGCCCAGGCCGGCCGGCGTGGAGATACGTAGCCCCTTTGCCTTCTCTCAACCAGGGATACAGACATAAAAAGGTGAGTTCATACGTACTTTTATCCCTAATTCTACAGGGTGTGGATGTTTGGTAACGTCGGCCAGTTTTGGCTAAGTTAATTTATAAGGCGCAGAAGGACAGCTACTTATGCAGTTCACAGCTGTCATGTCAAGTACAAGTGTACTTTTGACGCACATTCTATATCAGCCTTGTCTTCAACTGTTTTCTACGTTTCGATGACTTGTTTAGGAAATGTACACCTTGTTTTGAAGAAATACATTTCAAACCGCTACCATTTGCTCACGGTGACGTTCGCACCACGATATGTTTTGGCCAAGATCTTTATGAGGCGCGGTGAGAGGCATATTACTGTTGACTTACTTGCTGTGGATAGAGGGTAGCCATTAAACGGGAGATTTGTCAGGTATCATATACAATAATGGTAGGAGTGTATTTCATGTATAGATACCTTCAATGTGTGAAGTCCTGTCTATAGTTTTGTCCTGACACTAGCAACAAGCCTCACACCTTATCGGACCAATGACAGCCTTTCTTCTCTCCATACAGTTGCAATACCATGGGCCTTAGCTAGTGCGCAAGCTCTAGCCGGCAGTTGCAGTGCTATAGCCGGGACAATCACATATGCCAGAAGCCGTGGTCACAGCTGACTCAAGCCTCCCGGTCACAGAGCTGATCATGACAACTGACTCCAGTCCCCAATTCGTGTAAAATTGTGTTTCG